ACCAGTCAGTAGCAGTCTAGGACATGACAGGAATTGAAAAGGAAAATGGACAGAGAGGTGTTTATGAGTTTATCCAGGACCTCAGAAAGCCTCATCAGGAGATGCTGAACATGTGTGGACACACAGCCTGCCCTCCCGGTGAGATGGAGGTGAAAGAATTCACTCACCCAACATCGAGGACCTGAGGAGAGTAAGCAGTATTAAACAATGGCCTACTAACAGCACTAGGTGGCGCCACAGTGCATAGAGCTCTAGGCCTGGAACCAGGAAGACTCTTCTTCAGAGTTTAAATCCAACCTCATTCACTCATTAGCTGTGTGACCCTGGGCAAGTCACTTCACTCTGCTTGCCTCAGCCTCCTCATGTGTGAAATGAGTTGGAGAAGGAAATGGCAAACCACTCCAGTATCTGTGCCAAGAAAACCTCAAATGGAGTCACAGAGAGTCTGACAGGACTGAAACAACAAAAATCAGTCTTCTCCTGGGTTAGCCCAATATGGATGTGGAAGAGCCTCAGAGTAACATCTTTAATTTCATCAGCCAGAAATGAATTTTCTTCTACTGTCAAAGAGTCTCGTTTACAAAGTAAACGCAAGTAAAAATCCCTTTACAGCATACACTCTAGAAAGGAAGCCCTCTGTACAGCAAAGTGGAGCATCCCAATGGATGGCTTTTAATAAGCCTCGTTTTGATCCAATTACAAAATTCTCAATCAACCAATCAACAAGCATTTGTTGAACACCTACTAAGTGCTGAGATACAAAGACAGAGGTAGACCCTGCCCCCCACTCTCATGGATCTTACATTGGACAAGGAGAAACAACACTCACTTCCCTCCTTAAAACCCTCCTTAAGAATGGTCTAAATCACTCTGAGCCAACCAAAAATTTAAGAAATGGAACAGGTGGTAGGAATTTGTCACTGAAATAGAAAGGAAGTTGACAGCTAACTGCCCTATCTTCAACCAACAAGGCCAAAAAATATATGTCTTTGTCAACTGTCTTTCCTTTACATGTAAACTATTTAAATACTCCCGTGGAAAGAATGAATGAAAAAGCAATGATTAGTTAACCCCTTCTTGAGCCCCTTAATTGTTAGGACCCTTCCCCTCCTCAAATTATTATGCTTATAACTCTGTTTATATCTCTCCCGCCACAGGAGAATGTAAGTTCCTTGAGGCTAAGAGCCATTTTTGCATTTTGTCTTCTTATCCCCAGTGACTTGCATACAGTAGGCATTTAACAAATCTTTATTGGATTGGATTGATGTCTCCATTACTCCCCTTCATCTACTTGCTGTTCCATGTACATAACATACCATCTCCTGCCTTCGCACAGGCTGCCCTAATGTGCCCAGAATGTTCTCCTTCTTGCGTCCACCTTTGGAACCCCTACCTTCCTTCAAGGTTCATCTCAAATGCTGCCTATTTCAAGGAGTCTTTCCTGAACCCCCAGTGAAAAAAGTGTTGTGGAAAGTATACTCTGAGCCAGGCATCGTGCTGAGCACTGGGGATGCAGACACACAAAAAAGGGAGACAAGCCCCTGCCCTCAAGGTGCTTACATTCTAGTAGGAGGATACAGCCAGCTATAGGGGAATTAGGAAAAGAGTTTTGGTCTAGGGAGCTGATTAGAGAATCAAGGATAGTATTGATTTGACTGTTGCATTCAGAGAAAGAAGGAGAGGAACAGCGGTGCAGTCAGGAGGGAGCCAGCGTGGGACAACGGGGAAGATGGCGGATGGTCTTCTGGGGCAGAGAGTGGAATTGCTTCGTATCGCCTTTGTACACGTTCCACATTCATTTATTTCTAAATAGGTTGTGTCTCTCCCTAGTAGCATGGAAGCTCCTTGAGGTCAGGGACTGCATCATTTTTGTTTTTGCAGTCCCAGAGCTTAGCAGAGCGCCTGGCGGGCAGTAAACATGCTTGATGGTTGACTAAAAGAACCTATGTTTTCCCTATGCTGGTGCAAAGCCACCTGCATCAAGGGGGAGGCTGCGAGGAACAATGAACAAAGTGGGGTCGGGCGACAATGCGACCTGCTTCTCTTGGTATCTAGCGGACGGGGCTTCTTCGAGGGACAAGCGTGCCCCAGCTCTTAGCACAGTGCCTGGCACGCAGTAGGTGCTCACTAAATGCTTGGTGACTGATTGAGGTTCTTCCCAAAGCCCTCTGCTCAAAGACAGAAGCCAGTGAACAGAACCCTTACGGATGCAACAGAGGAAGTAAAATCTCAGCGTGCCATTTAATAAAAAGCATCCTTTGGATTCACATTTGCTGCAGTGGTTTTTCTTTAATTAAATGTGGCGCTTCGATACAAAAATGAAGATAAGAACCAAGCACCCTTCTAAACTGAGCATGTGAAACATGTTTCCCTGCAAAGCGCGCCCACACAAGAGGCACCCCAGACCCCCTCATTCATTTGATAGTTTGGTTTAATTTTAATTACATAACTAAAATATTAGATCTAGTCTATGCATCCAAGTTTTATCACTTGACTGCAAACTTTAACTCTTGCTTGGAAAACAGGCCAATGATGCTTCTTTATAAATGATATTTTTAAAAAACCATACAAGGGAGTTGATAATGTATAATAAGATTCTAGATTTAGAGCTGGAAGGGACCTTCGAGCTCATTTTTTTTAGATGGAGAAACTGAGATTTATAGAGGTGAAGTAACTTGCCCGAGGTCACACAGCTAGTAAGAGTCTGGGGCAGGATTCAAACTCATGTCTTCTTGACTCCAAGCCCAGCATGCTATCCATCATGCCCGCTAGCTGCTTCTAAATTTCATTCTTTTCAATTTGACAAGCAAAAGGACTGAGTGATGGCCTTGTAGTACACAGCTGAATGGATGTCTTCACTGATGTCTGAAGGGTCATGACTAAACACAGTGAGGGCTCCACATGCTTGGGCCAGTCAAGGGCAGGACCCAGTGTCTGCTGAGAATATTTTCCTGAAGTTTCCTCTCTTGTTCTGACTCTTCTGAGATGTTCACTGGGCTCCAGGGGTGTTAGCTGGGCCATTTCCAGTTTAGTTCACCTCCTCGAGCCTCAGTTTACTTTTTTGTAAAATGAGGGGATTGGACATGACCTCTAAGGTCAGTTCCAGCTGTAAATCTATGATCCCATAGACAAGGGATTTTAGAGCGAGCCTGGTTTCAGGTGAACAGGAGGAAGTCACACCAAGCCTTTGTGTTTTCATTTGAGTCTCACAGATTAAATTGCCTTTCCCAAGAAATGTGAGAGCATGGCGGGACGAAGACAGCTTTGTCGACAGCCGGTGAGGTAACAAGAGACTCTGTCTCCACATGGAGATCATTTCCCCACAGCTTCTACATTCTCCCTGTGTTCTTCTCTGCCTTCTTAACCATCCAGCTCTATAGGACAGCTGGGAAGGATTGGCACTATTATGATTTGAAATGTGGCGTTGTCATTCCTAGGTCAATTAATGGTGACATCATTGCCAGGAGAAAGTGAGGAAGGCCTCCTGCATGTTGGGGGTACACCCTGTGGAGAATTGGCACAGTGGATAGGGCATTGGACTAGAGGTAAAAAAAAGACCTGGGTTCAAATACTGCCTTAGATACTTCTAAGCTCTGGGTCACTATGTAACCTTCCTAGTCCTCAGTTTCCTCATATGTAAAATGAAAAGATTGGATTCGGTAGCCTTCCATCGCTAAATTGATCGTCCTGACATGGACAAGAGTTGCGCCAGATGGTCAGCCATGGATTGGTGATGAATTGGCATCATCAGGGAACTTCTGAATCAATGAAACCTCAGATCCATTTAAGTGCCTGAGTGCCGAATTAACCCCAAATCCCTCCTTTCCAGCCTCCTGTCTCACCTTTCCCTTCATGCTTACACAGGATAGGGATCCATACGACAAGATGCCCAGTTCTCTGAAGAATTTCATTCTTGCAAGAATGAATAAAGGAAGCAAGTACAAAATTGTAATCTTTTGGGTTTCATAAAGAACCTTTTTTTGATCCTGTTTTCCTTAGGGAAGAAAAGGATGAGAATAGAGTTCCAGCAGTTTCACTTAGAAAGTTTCTGGCTTTTAGAAATACAGGTAAAAAGGGAGTTTCTACCAAAAACGAGTGTATACATACATACATACATACATACATACATACATACATACATACATGTATGTATAATGCAAGATAGAGGTGATTCCTCCATTCAAACCCAGAATTTTGTTGAAAACTCCCAGCATTCCATAGTGAATTCACCTACACCTGCCTGGATTAGTGACTGAAATTGATTTGGTGATCTTCTTAATCGGTACAATTCTTGGCATAGGGATTGGTCCTGATTGGAACAAAGACTTTTGTATAAAATTGGTGGGCTGGTACCTGTTCATATACTGTGTCTTTTAATACCAAGGAGAAAGTGGAAGGGAACAAGCATTTATTAAGTACCTGTTGTGTGCCAGGCATTGTGCACATATATATTTTACTGTGTACAATATTTTATAAATATTTTCTCATTTGCTGCAACAAAGCAAGGGTGAAAGAGAAGTACACTTGGTTCTATGGGAACCCTGGAAGAGGAGAGAAAAGAGAAGAGAATGATTTTTCTTTTTTTTTTCCCACTTACTAGTATTTTATTTTTTCCAATTCCATGTTAAAAATAATTTTCAACATTCACTATTGTAAGATTTTGAGTTCCAAATATTTTTATCCCTCCCCCTTTCCCTTCTTCCCCGCCCAGGATGATGAGCAATCAGATGTAGACTATACACTTATAATCATATGAATCATATTTTCACATTAGTCATGTTATGAAAGCAGAATCACAACAAAAGGGAAAAACCTTGGTCCTCTGTCTCTGAAGGCAGTATCTTTTCCATTGTACCAATGCCCTCCGTTCCCCTTATTGCATAGTTAGTAGAGATACATATTAATATTTGTGTTAATGCATAATATTGTCCCCAAAGGCAATGGATAAGTAAAATTGACAGAAGGTCTTTAAGCAAATATTGAGTTATTTAATTTCTCACCTCTATAAAACCTTCTTCATCTCTCCTATCTTTCATTGATCCTAGAAATTCCAATGGCTGGTAAAGTGCCGCTGAGGGGGAAAAAAGAGAATGACTCTATTAGTTTGGTTGTAATGCATTTTCCATGCAGGCTTTAATTTTTAAACTCATTGGTTTCATCTCATCGCTGACTTTTCTCTGTAACTTTTATTATTATTATTATTATTACTTTTTGGGGAGGCAATTGGGATTAAGTGACTTGCCCAGGGTCACACAGCTAGTAACTGTCAAATGTCTGAGGCCAGATTTGAACTCAGGTCCTCCTGACTCCAAGGCCAGAGCTCTATCCACTGTGCCACTTAGCTGCCCCTTCCCTATAACTTTTAGATGGTACCTACTGAAAATATAGCTATCAGACCTGGGCGCAAAGACACAAATAAAAGACAAGTTGCTGTTTTTTGTTTGTTTGTTTTAACCAGACTTCAGGTTTTATGAGTTTAGGGAGCTCCCAGTGAGAAACTTCTACCAAGGAAAATCAACACTTCTCTGCAACTTAGAGCCTTAGAAAGTTTTCTCAGGCACTGAGAGGTTCCCCAAGCTCAGGCAGCCAATATAGATCAGACCTAGAACTTAGATCTTTCTGACTCTGAGATCAGGTTTTTATTCACTATATCATACTGCGTTTTCAGGAACACATAACAGAAAGTTAATGATTTAGTAAGTTGGGTTTTTTCCCCTAACATGGCTAAATAGGACTCAATTCATCACCAAAAACATTTATTATCTGGGAGCAGAACTCTGTGTCACGTACTAGATGGGATATAAAGTTTGAATAAGACAGTGAGTACCTCTATCCTCATGGAGCTTACAATCTAATGGGGAAGGTGGCACACAAATACTGTAGTAGGCAGGAAAGATGCATGACAGAGGTAGAAGCAAAACGTTATGAGAAGCCTGTGAGGAGAGGCTTACTGCAGCCTGTGGCGATTGATTTGGGGTCAAAAGGATGGGTAGGAATTTAACAGGTAGAGATGGAGGACCTTGTGGAACTGTACCCATTTTTCAAGTCCTGGCCCAGATGTGACCTCTTCCATTTGGGGCCACTCTTTTTCTATATCTCTTCATCCTATGAAAAGCTTAATGGAAAAATGCCCCCGTATCTTAGAATCAGTGGGTAAAATAGAAATGGAAAGAATCCCCTGATCACTTTCTGAAAGAGATCCCAGAATGAAAATTCCCAGAAATATTATAGCCAAATTCTAGAGATCCTGGGTCAAGGAAAAAGTACTGAAAGCAGCCAGGAGACCATTCAAATACCATGAAGCCATAGTCAGGATCACATAAGATTTAGCAGCTACCACATTAAAATAGAAGAAGACTTGGAATATAATATTTTGAAAGGCAGAGAAGCTGGGATTACAAACAAGAATACCCTACTCAACAAAAGTGAGTATAATCCTTCAGGGGAAAAAGTGGGAATTTAATGAAATAGTAGACTTTGAAGCATTCCAAGATGCAAAAACTAGAGCTAAATAGAAAATCTGACATTCAAACAGAATACTCAAGAGAAGCATAAAAAAGTAAACTGAAAGAGAAACCACAAGGGATTTAATAAGTGCAAATTGTTTACATTCCTATATGGGAAGGTGATCCATGTAAATCCTTAAGAACTTTATCATTATTAGGGCAGTTAGAATGAGTCTCCATAGACAGAATGCACAGGTGTGAGTTGCTTATATTGGAATGATTCAAAATAAAAATGAAGGGGTGAGAAAGAGGGATACACTAGGAGAAGGGAGAAAGGAAAGGAAGGAGAGGGGAAATTATCTCCCATAAAACAGGCATGTAAGGAAGAGTTTTACAATGGAGGGGAAAATGAGTGGGGAGGGCAGTCAATGCTTGAATCTTACTGGTTCAAAAATGGAAAAATACGTATACACATTTAGTTCGGTATAGAAATCTACCTTACCAAACAAGGAAGTAGGAGGGAAAGGAATAAAAGAAAGAGTGTGGGTGATAAAAGGGAAGGTGGATTAAGGGAGGCAGTGGTCAGAAGCAAAACAGGGGGGAGAGAGACAGAGAGACAGAGGCACAGAGAGATAAACAAGAAAAGAGGATGAAAGGAAATACACAGTGAGTAATCATAACAATGAATGTAAATGGGATGAACTCACTCATAAAATAGAGGTAGATTGTAAAATGGATTAGAAACCAGAATCCATCAATACATTGTTTACAAGAAACAAACTTGAACCGGAAAGACACGCCCAAAGTTAAAATAAGGGGGTAGATCAGCATCTATTATGCTTCAGGTAAAGTAAAAAAGGCAAGGGCAACAATCATGATCTCAGGCAAAACAAAAGAAAAAAGAGACCTAATTAAAAGAGATAGGGAAACTACTTTTTGATGAAAAGTACCATAGACTATGAAGTACTGTCAATACTAAACATATATGCACCAAATGACATAGCATCCAGATTATTTTTTCTTTTTCAAAATTCATCATTTATTTATTTTAACATTATTTTCATTTAAAATTTTTAGAACCAGATTCTCTCTCCTATCCTTTCCCTACCCATTGAGATGGCAAACAATTTGTTATCAATTAAACATGTGAAATCATGTAAAATATATTTCCTTCTTGGCCATATCACAAAAGAATGGCAAGAAAAATACCAGCACAATGCTATATGCATGCATGTATGTGTGTATTATATGTGTGTATACGTACATACATACATACACACATACATACACACACACACAGAGATATGGAAAGACAAAGAGATTGCATTTGTTAGATGCTTACTATTTGCACTGAGATGGCAGAGAATGGAAGCTGGTATGTGAGGTAGAGGGAAGAGTGAGTGGTTTTGTTTAACACCATGTGGAAGACCAGAACTAGGACCCCCAAACCGTAAGGGCTCCAGACTTATGCTGCTGATGAGTGAGTATAAAACATGCTGAGACTGACTTAACTTTACATACAACTAAAGACAGAACCTGACAAAGACATTTTACTGAGTAAGTGCAGATAAGTTGGCAGCTACCACTACAGAGCTAATTTATCAAGAATATGCCTGACTTAGCCAAAGCCTGTTTATTCCAATCTTGGCTTGCCCTAGAAGAGCTGGTGTATTTTATCATTGTCCCTTCACTGGCAAGATTCAGAAATCCTGTTTGCTGAATTGGATATTAATTTTACTAAATAGAATTGGCCAATTCTAACCACCAGGGGGCATCAAAAGCATTCTTGATCTGGAGGATCCCGTATTCATTCACACTATCTAATGGGGGGAGGGGCGCTGGTCTTGGCCAAGCAGGTGGCTTGTTTCGACAGGTAGGACACTACACACGATACCTTGATCTAGGTTGTGGGATTACAGTCTATAAACAATGTGTTTTGTGCCAGGAATGGGGAGACCCCAGACCTGCTGGGGCACTGATCTAAGGAAATTGCCACAGGACCTCTGACTCCATCTGCTTTCAGAACAATTTTGTTCCTTTCCCACAAAGCCCCAAAAGCTCTCTGGGCTAGGTTCAGCTTCTCTGAGCTCTGAGTCAACTGCAGATGGGGTCTATCACTGGATCACAGAATTCAGGATCCACAGCCCCAGAACACCAGCTAGAAGAGGAAGCCCCACCATTATCTGAACCAGGCAGAGATGGGGATCCCCCTTAAACAACGTTGAGTCCTTAGAGGAACGAATGAGTGGTGAAATGGGAGAGAGCGGCAATAAAGCAGTGTGTGCAGGACATTAGCAGCAATTGATTGGCCTTCAAAAGGAGAGAGGCAAAGGGGCTGCGGGGTGAGGAGGAAGAATTTGGTCAAAGCCAAGCTGAAGCAGATGGACAGTAAGATGACTTAGGGTCAAAGTTGAATTCTGGAGAAAGAAACAGGAAGTCATAAGCTGAGTCTATGTGAAAAAGGTCAAAAGAATGGGGAAGTTTGGAAAGGAGTAAACCTCAAAGTCCCAGTGCCTGGCAGTTTGTGTCATTGAGGAATGTGTCACTCAGATGACGTCCTTTATGGCAGCAAAGAGCTACCTCACCTTTCCCTCTCCCCACACCTTCTTTGGCTTCCACTTCACAGCTGTTGGTCGAAGATACCCAAGACAATCAAAGACCACCGCCTGGGCAGCTGATGTGTGTTGGGGCCCTCTTCCGCCTCTCAATGCTGCTCTTGGAATGACTTTGCTTTTGCAAATTAGCATAGGTCCATTTCAGTTAATAATGCTCACTAACATAGAGCACTTTAAGGTTTGCAAAGTGATTATATACTTACATATTATATATACATATATGTATATGCATGTATACATATGTGTGTGTATGTGTGTGTGCATATATATATATAACTATATATATATATATATATATAACTATATAACTATATATATATATATATATATATATATATATGAATGATTTGAAATGTGTGCTAGGAACAGGATGGAAGTGGCCCAAGCTGTGACATCTGATTAATGAATGTTAGGGATATGCTGGAGCCAGCTTGTAAGGACTGGAGAGCTGATTGTTAAATTTTCATGGGAGTGTTTATATCTTGGAAAGGCTAAAAATCAGGGCTTGACTTACTACTTTGTTGATTGTTGAGATTCAAGAAAGTGACAAAGAGTTTTAATAACGCACACTTAACCGAAAAATGTGATGTACCTTTTTTGGAGAGATGATTGTTAAACATTTACCAGGACATCCCCAGTGGATACTCTGGAGATCTGATTGGTAGACACAGATAGGATGGGTCTCAGAACTTAGCAGGCATGCAAGGGACAGAGTTACTAGGTGACCGACAACCAGTCGCCATGAGGAGCCCGGCAGAGACCAGGTTTGGTTGACATCCAAGCACCTTCTGGTGGTGGGGTGGTCTTAGAAATGTTATTGAACCTCTGTATCAACATAAACAATCACAAGCACCAGACGGCCTATGGCCTAGAAGGTCATCATCTGCCTTAGTTATCTTTAGCTATGTGGTTAATGTGGCAGAAGAAGGTGGCATGACCGCTTTTGGCATAAAGAATGGAGAAGAGAGCACAGCAAACTGTCTTTTAAGCAAACACTACTCCCTCCATTT